AAAGTGAAAGTGTTTGTTGCTCAGTCATGTCCAACTCTTTGTGGCCTCATGAGCTGTAGCCCGCCAGGCTCCTCTGTCCATGGAGTTCTCTAGGCAAGAATACTGGAGTAGGTTGCCATTCCCTTCTGCAGGGGATCTTCCTGATTCAGGGATCAAACCCAGGTCTCCTGCCTTACAGGTGGATTCTTTACCATCTGAGTCACCAGGGAAGCACCCAAATAACGGAGATGATTTACATGTTCTCACGTCATCTAAAAATGTAGTTGCTGTTGTTTAGTTGCTGAGCTGTGTCTGACTCTTTTGTGACCTCACGGACTGTATCCCGCCAGATTCCTCTCTTCTGTTCATGAGATTTCCCAGGCAAGAATACTGAAGTTGGTTGCCATTTCCTTCTCTAAGGGATCTTCCCGACCCTGGGATCAAACCTGCGTCTCCTGCAGTGGCAGAAGGGTTCTTTACTATTGGGCCACCTGAGGAGGCCCCCCCCCCCAAAAAAAGAGGTGTAGTTAAGAAATATTTATTACCAATTTACTTATTAGAGTAATATTTATCAAAGAGTATTGTTTTATGCTTTGCTAAGAATATGCTGATTTTCATGTTAATAAAGATTTAGATCTTTTGTACAGCTAGTGTGCAGACTCTGCAAGAATCAAGCATGTCTGGAGTATTCTAGGATCTAGTACTAAATTGCCACTCTTCAGCTCTTTGCTGTTTTCACCCCTCCTTGGAGGCCACAGCTACAGTGGGATCTCTGCCTGCTGCTGTGGACTAAATTCATGAATGGGAGGGGTGCTCATCAAACATGTTTTCTTGACATAGTGATGATGTTAATTATCAGATGTCAGTGTACAGACCTTTATCTTAACAATCTATTGAGCAGCTTTCTTTGAACATGGACCTTTTTTACACTCTCTTCATTTTTATCCCACAGCGGGTGACCGTTAAAAATATGTAACAGACAAGCGGTTAACCAGTTCCCTGATGAGATTAGTAAAATAGTAGTCCAACATTAGGGAATTTCTCAACCTCTGCAAGAAACAATTTGATTCAACTTTTTAAGAGGTAGGGGGTATAGAATTAAAATTTTTCATTTGAATAGTCCCTCATGTTTTCAGAAGGGCATGAAAAAATTCACATACCTAGCTTTTTATATAAGTTATTTTATAGCTTATAGTATTTTTCCTTATTTCATTTTTTTTAAGGAATGAGGATATTTATTCAAATCAAATCAAGGTTTGCCATTTAAACATATCACAAATTGAGCTTTGAATTCTTTGTTTCTTGAGTTATCTGAATAGTCTCAGACATAAATCACTTCTCCTTTCAAGAAGAAGAAATCTCTAGACTGGTGGAAATTGTTAACAGCATGCACAATTATAGCATCTCATCTGGGTTTATGCGATTACAAATCAAACTAGGGAACTTATTTTAACATAAAAATTATTATAGATTTGCAAATTTCAAAGGAAGCTGCATTATTTAATTTGCACATACTGGAATTTCTGACCCATTATTTTTAGTGGAATATTTTTTGTAAGCCCAAGAGAAAGAAACAAAATGTCAATTTGCTGTGGTCAATGGTGTTATAAATCCCGAACTAGTGCTACAACAGTGTAAGAATCAAGATGAGTTGTGTACATTTTAGAATACAAAAGATAGCAAAATTATATGATTCATAAACAGTAAATCTTAAGTAAACATAGGAGATGATTCTGTAGTTTTCTAAAATTAACTTTATTCATTTTTCTTTGATCAAAATCAAGATCTATGACACTGGAATATTATCATTGTACATTGGAAATTTTAGGGCCACATTTGTAGAAACAGCAGTTTTGTTGTAGCAGAAATATTTCACCCATCAATCCTGAAGATTTGTACATTGTAGAATGCAGTGGAATATTATTACCCTAATTATTTTAGCCTAGAGTTCTAAGATCCCTGGTTTCTGCTGATGCTTTGAATCATCAGAAGCATTTTTAGAGTTAGAAAGATGAATTTTAAAATGTCATTCATACATTATTCTCCTTTAGAAATTCAGTTTTATGAACTCTAATGTTTCTATGTCCAGAAAGAGAATAAATAACTGAAGAGCCATTTCCAACCTGTTTTATTGGTGATTGATTATATAAAATATGATTCTTTCTTAAGACCTTTTGTCTGTATATTGTTAACTTTTTATTTAATTTGAAATCATGTCCTCAAGCAGTAGTTTCCTATTTTTTTTTTTTTTTACATATTTTTATCTGTTTGGAGGGAGCAGTCTCAGTGCAGTGAGGGTATAAACATGGAATGATTTTATTTCTCCAGCCACCACTTTTGCCCATGACCGGTCATATCTCTCATTCATGTTTCTTTTTATATTTGGCAAACCCCATGGTTTTCTGGTCATCTTTAGTTTTGAAAGATTTAGTGCAGTTCACTGTAAAACTACGAGCTCATGTCCACCCCCCCACCCCCCCGCCCCACTGCCAGCTTTCTGTTTTGGCTCAAGATGCACAGGGGAGGGAGGGTATACGGTGATTTCCTCTTGTCTTCCTCATGCTCCAGCACCTTTGAATACTGCGATTGGTGGGCTGGGGACTTGATCTGCTTCTGAGGCATGTTCCTCCGCATTCTGCCTCTGTTTCAGGCCTGGTCACTCCTCTGATAGAAGCCCTGCAAATGGACTAGGGGAGGGGAAGGACTCGAGGAGGCTATCACTTAGCCTAGTTTCATCCATTACTAGTTTCCTTGTAGATGATGTTCACTTTTTTTTTCCTTTGTTGAAGTATAGTTACTGTGCAGTATTATGTAAGTTTCAGGTGTGCGATATGGTGATGAACAATTTCTAAAAGTTATACTCTATCTATAGTTACTATAAAATACTGCATGATTTTCCCAGTTCCCTCCATCTCTGAAGGGCAGCCAGGTTTCATTTGGACTTTACCAGTGATCCATGCCCCTGACCTTGTTCTTGGTAGATGTCACTTTGCTTGGCCTGAGAAGCCCTTTGGCTTCTGCTGAGACTCTTTTTCATTGAGTCCTACATGTATTGTTCTACCAATATTCAGTGTCTGTGGGATGTCTAATATTTTACAGGATATTGCAGGCTCATGGTGAATTAGAAGAAAAGTTAAATCTTTCAGTCCTAGTATCCAAGCCACTTATGGAAATGAAGTTTAAAATGTATTTTTTGACTGGAATTGTCTTGTGATCTTTTTGTCCTTCCTAATTTTCATTTCTCTAAAAGGAAAAAATAAAGCTGCAGTAAGTTGGCTGACATATGAGCATGTTCACTATCAATGTGGGTATTTAGGAGAGTGTCTTGTCTTTCATATTGTCTTTCAGTTGATGTCAAAAGGTGATTATGTTTTATTTTAAAAAGCATGTTTTATGATAGCACTATATCAGACATAGTATTTTAACTATACCATAAATGGTTGTGAGCTGTAGCTATTGTAGTGTCACCATTGATTGACTTTTGCATAAACCTGTTATGTGGTAAGTTTCATTCCCTCCCCCCTCATATTTCACTGCTGCATAGTAAACAACAGCCCCACATTCTTGAACTCATACACTGAGTGAACTTTTAATTTGCTCAGGAGGTACAGTGAATTCGAACTGTCATCAAATCCTTTTCCCAAAGTTAATTTGGAAAAAAGATTTTATAACAAAATCTTTAAAGTGCTTTGGAAACAAAGCTTTGTATGTTGACTTGATTTGAACCCTAAACTACTTTTTATAGATTCCAGGAAGTTTCCCTGCCTTAAGGGATACTAATGGCGAATCTTAACAATCTTACTGGTTTAAAAATGTTATTAAACCATTAGATGAGGATTTATATCATTGTTTTCTGTCAGATCCATATTATATGTGTGTGTATATATATATGTTTATTTATCACAAAAGCAACACTATTTTTACTTTATTAGCTTAGAATTCAGAGAAGGCAATGGCAACCCACTCCAGTACTCTTGCCTGGAAAATCCCATGGGCAGAGGAGCCTGGTTGGCTGCAGTCCATGGGGTCGCGAAGACTCAGACAGGACTGAGAGACTTCACTTTCACATTTCACTTTCATGCATTGGAGAAGGAAATGACAGCCCACTCCAGTGTTCTTGCCTGGAGAATCCCAGGGACGGCAGAGCCTGGTGGGCTGCCGTCTATTGGGTCACACAGAGTTGGACACGACTAAAGTGACTTAGCAGCAGCAGCAGCAGCTAAGAGTTAAAACACTGCTTGACAGAACTTTTTTGAAAGTAGATAAATGAAAGGATGGAAATTTTTCCATTGGGCAGATGGACTCACATTCCCCTACCCCGACCCCTCATACCTTACCTCTGATAGAGTGTCTTACACATGGTTTTAATAATGGTTGGTTGTATTCAACTAAAAGAAAAATAATATAGTAACTTTATTTTGGTCTGTACATTATAAGTCATTTCAGTTTAATTCATTTTGATTGTAATGTCAAAATTCCAGACAGAACATGGTATACTAAGATACATACATACATATATCTATGTATGTGTGTGTGTGTGTATGTATAACATTGGTTTTATAGGGACTATAATGTAGAAATAGAAGAATGTCAGACCAATCAAGTGGCAGTCACACACACACAGAGTCAAAGATGAAGAAAATTCAGGTTGACAAAGTCTTATTTGATTCAAATGAACTTGACTTATGCTGACCCTGGAGTCCTTTATGCATTATGAAAAGTTGGACAAAAAAGATGAGTGTCCCATTTAGTTGTGAATTTTTCTTCTAGCTGTACTAATGCAGAGCACTCTGCAAAGCATTTCCTAATACTCTTTTAAAGAATATTAATATAAAATATTAGTTAAAATTAATAGAATCTCCATAGATCTTCGAGTCCCAGTAAGGTTTTAAATATTTGAATTGTGTTCTGCATAAGTTACATGAATTTCTTCTTGAAAGATAGAACCTTTGCAAAGGGCCGATTGCATCTGGCTCCCTTTTACTGGTGGCATTCAGCAGCTTGCGTGTGTTCTGTTATAGGTGCACTACTGTGATAGACAGAGTGGCAAAGAGTATGTGACCTGTCTGACATTAGCCCCTGTGCAGATGACCTTCCATGCTATTGGAAGCTCCATTGAAGCCAGCCATGACCAGGTATAATGTGCCACTACCATTTTGCTGTGCTATGGCCCAGCTAAGACATCCCAGATCATCAAAGTGGAAGCTATATGCACACATACAGCTTTGCTTACCCTAATGTATCAGCCACTAGTGCCATTTACTAGACTTTTGAGAAATAAAAATTCTGAGCGTGTGTGTGTGTGTGTTGGTAACCTGGTATCTTAGGAAATGTAAATTATTTTAGACTTCTGGTTTGTGATTCAATATTAAATATATAGTTCTCTTATAAGGAAAAAGTAATGGGCCTATGTTATTTTTATTTTTAATAATTACATATGGAAAGAGGGTCAGCACAATATAGATAACACTGGAATCTCACTATGATAAACTCATTAAGATATATATGACTTAGTTCTATTGAAGAGAGTTTCATGTTACAGAATATAAAATAACAGAGTAAACTTTTACAGCCATCCAATTATTCTCATAACTTGGGCTATTATTAAAATGACATTCCAGTGTTGTTTTTACTTTTAAAAGTTTTAGTTCTGAAATAAAGCTAAAAATCTGAAAAGTGTATTTTCTGAAAAGACAAATGCCTTTGATTGTTTAGACAGCAACTTGAGAATGCATCCTGTTTATAATACATATTTTCAATTAAAATAATCATGAGATTAGACTAAACTAATGATCTGGGTCATAGAATTTCTAGTTTGGAGTCAAAATAAATAGGCATATAGAGCTCACTGTATGACTAACCAGCTGTGCTTTTTTAAATTAACCATTTTCATGCAGAACATTCGTAACACACTTTCATATCCTTTTCTCAGTAAATTTGAGAATTTCTAATAGCCTTGCCTGACTCTTCTTTTCTGAGTAGTATACTTGCATGTAAAGAATAAAAGAGCATACTAGTGTTATCTTCTCAAATACATGGTTTATTGTCCAGCCCAAACAAGACCTAAGAGAAACATTCCTAAGGGCATACCTCTCTAGTTCATGATGTCCCTGACATTATGGATTTCCAGTCATCATTTGATTGGTGAAAAGGCATTGTGGTGTTTCAGAAGGAGCAATAATCAAATTGTAACTAATCTGAGTGTTAGTTACTAACCACAGTATACATGAGCTGCTACAGCCACCTGGGTGAATACTATCATCTCTTTCGGACTCTGTTTCCAAGGATGCTAAGTGAGGGAGTTGTGTTAGTTGACTTGCAAGATTCATTCCAGTGCTGCCATTTTACAATGCTCTAAGTAATCTTTGTGCTTTTGGTTGAATAAGCCCAACCAGTCATTAACAGATAATAGCATGCCAATCTGGGAAGCAGCTTAGAGGTCTCTCCAGTGCTTCTTAGGGTTCAGCACTGATGTTAGCTCCAGCTGCAGAAGAGACTACAGCAGGGCTTGGAAGCACAGGGAGGAGGCACATCTGACCTAGATGATGGAATGTTTTGTGTTTCCCTGTATAAAACTGTAGCTGAGCCATATGTTGGGTGCCACAGATGCATGGGATGAATGGTTCCTGCTCTTATGGAGCACACACTCCAGCACCTTCACCCCTCTGAATAATTTGCAAGAAGTCTTATCTGCTGCTTCTCCAACTCTATATATTCACTCATGCCAAAAAACAAAGGGCAACAGCGGCATGAGATATCCATCCTGCAAAGGTCTCTCCTTAGGCAAAGCAAATAAATAAAAGCATTCTGGGAAACCCACACACTTGAGACGAGCAGCTCACTGTTAGCAGAGGTAGCTTGTTGCTATAAAAGAGTATTGGATTGGGAATGGAGACCGGAATCAAACCCAACATTGCTGAGAGCTAGCTGTGGGACCTTGGCTCGTCACCTCTGGACTTTGGCTTCTTCAAGAGTCAGATAATGAGGCTGGTTCAGGCTTGTTCCAAGTCCATATATGTGGATATATATACCAAGTGGCAGGGCTACAGTTAGCCCATAAGGCATTTTTACAAATTAGGGGGAAAAAAAGGCACCTCTGACTCAAAAGCATCTGATAGAAAATTGTCATAATAGACAAATCCACAGTAACTACAGTGCAAACCCCCTCCCAAACAAGGTGTGTAGTGCACAGCCTGCACAACTGCACACAGCGGTCTTATTCTGCATTTATCTGGAATGTTAGTTCCTCCGTGGTAAGTAAATAAAGAGATTTTTATATTAAAGGAAATATAACTGCATTACAGGTGACAAACTTACACGAAATTTTAAGTTGAAAAAAAAAAAGACTTCTAAAAAAAAAAGACTCCTAAGAAATATGTCAAATGGATGGGTGGATAGACAGATGCATAAATGGAGCGATAACTAGAATTACCATGCTGTTTATCAAACACTGTGCTTTGGTGGCCTCAGAGGTGCAAAGTGGGGGTGGGGGTGTGACCAGTGCCCCTGCCTTATGCTTGGGTGATTGGGCTCTTAGAGGAGAGCAGATGGGCAGGAAACCTCTGCTCCACGTCTTCTGGCTTTTCTACACTGTGTCACCATTTCCTCATACTGAGGGTCTGTCTGAGCAAAAGTTACTCCCCTCACCATACCAAAAGTGTAGGCTTCAACTCATCAGGTGAAAAGATGGGCCACTGAATGCTTTTTCACCTATTTGTTCTGTGTTTTTTTTGTTTTTTGTTTTTGGAAATACTAGAAAACAGGAAAGTAAAGCAAGAAAAATTACTATTGTTTAATAAGTGTTATCTGTTCTTAATTCATCTGAACCACTGCAATTGAACAAGAGAATAAGTATTTGGGGGAAAAAAAAAGTATATGTAAAATTTAGCGGCAGTCTTTCCTGGGAAACTCAGATTGTTCTTATGTATATAGAAAATGAGGATGAAAAATGAAAGACATCTCTAGCCTTGAACCTTTACGGCTCTCCTCCTTCTCCTTCTGTTTTGGGTATTGGAGCTCCAGGTATTTGTTTTAGGTTGACACTACTAGCAACATCAAGTATCTTAGTACAGACTTGGCTCACTGTGATACCTCATTTTTTAAAATTAAGTTCTATTGTAGTGTAGTTGATTTACAATATTGTATTAGTTTCCACTGTGCAACAAAATGAATCAGTTATACATATATCTGCTCTTTCTTAGATTCTATTCCCACATAGATTATTACAGAATACTGAGTAGAGTTTACAGCTTGTCTTCTTAATAAAAAAAATGTAAAAAATGTAACTGTAGAAACCTAGTAAAGTGGAAACTGAATGTGTGGTATACCAGTGCATTCCCCTCACTATACCAAGAATAACAGGATGGGAAATATTAAGTGAAATTCTCTATCAAGGTCAATGTATATATGCAAAATAGTTAGGGAAGAGATTCAGTATCTATATACTGGTGATGCCCAATTGTACAGAGCTCTTAATTCTCCCTTTCCCCCATCCCAAACGTGCTCTTCACTCTTTTTATCTTTTATCTCCTTTCTCTTCTATCTATCCTGGTAAATGACCATCTACCTTGTTGCTCAGGCCACGCCCCTTGAAGCATCCTTGCTCCCTCTCTTCCCCTACATCCAGTCCTAACTTGTCTTCCTCTAAATTACATCTCGAATCCGAACACTTTTCACCACCTCCAGCGTTACCATTCTAGTTTAAGTCATTAGCATTTTTAACCCAGACGACTGCAGTAGTCTCTAAACTGGCTGACCAAAATTATTTTTAAGATATTCAGATCATATTGCTCAGCTGCTCAAAAACTTCCATTGGCTTCTCATCACACCTGTTGTAAACTCAAAACTTTTGTTATGACCTCCCAAGTTCCTATGAGATGTGGCCCCACTACCTCTCCAGTTTCAAATCCTGCCACTCTCCTTTTCACTCTGTCCCAGTCTCACTGGCCTTGTGGCCAGTTGCATCATAATAGATGAAAGAAACTTGACTCAAAAGGCTACGTTCCATAGATGTGATACATGTGATGCTTTGGAAAAGGCAAAAGTATAGAGATAGAAAATACATCGATTGTTGCAGAGGATGGCGAGGGATTGACCATGGTGGGGGGATTGACCATATATCATCATGGGGGAGTTTTAGGGGGTGATTGAGATGTACTGTATCTTGATTGTAGTGATAGAATCATGACTGTGTACATTTGTCAAATTCACAGGACTATACACTCAAAAGGGGTAAATTTTACTATATGCAGATTATACCTCAATAAACCTAACTTTAAAAAACCTCAGACTCATTATTTTATCAGTTACTCATGTGGTATTGATCCCAGGGAAACATGGAAGGATGTCATCCTCTTTACTATGTTTCTTGAGTGTTGGGTCCACATTGGGAACGTGCTGTGTTTAATTAATAACCTGGGTTAGAGGTCCTCTGAATACCAGTGGGTGATTAAGGCCTCCTAGAATAATTATTAGTCTCCAAAAACTGGTCTTAGCCTGCCCCTTTCTGACTTTAGGGAAAGGGTCTGTAGGCCAGTGTTTCCCACTTGGGAACTCTGAATTCTCATCCAGGCAGTGGACAGCCTCATTCAGGGCGGTATCTGCCTGGAGGTCCCCACCTGTTTGGGTGAGAATGTTCTACATGTGTTCGCTTTATTCACCATAAGAAATGTGATATTATACATTCACATTAGTTTAGAATGTTTAATTGTCCAGAATATAAATATAGTTTGAATTGATAGATGTTGAGTTTTGTTTTAGAAACATTTGTTAACAACTATCTAGGAATCCCTCACTAGATACCAGAGCATCCAAAGATTACTGCCTTAACAGTCATTATAATAAGCCAGGTAACTTATTATAGTCCTTTCTGAGCCAGTCATCTTGCAAAATTTAAAATTTATAGATCATATGGTGATTTTAGGGACCATCATCCTTATTCATAAGACAAATTTAAAAAAAACCACTTATTTTTAAGATTGAGCTAGTGAGGATTTTGGTCAGTATTTTTCAGAATATCCTATTTGGAAATTAAATTTATATTGTAGAGTGTATATTAGTAAAAGCAAAAATAATACTGCAGAAAGATTTTTAGAATATCCTGTCTTGGTATAACTCAGAAGATACTATGTCCTGT